CAGCCACAGGTGCCTGAACTCTCTCCTCACAACCTCCACGTCTCTGTCAGAGCTACAAATAAAGGCTTTTATTAAAACTGTGATGCTATTCATAATGAAACGGTGAAAATCAGACAGCTGCCATTTTCTTCCAACAAAAAGTCCTCGTAGCTTTTCTTGTGAAACGGTTTTAAAGCAACGACTTGTGCTTTGTGAAAAACACAACACATCGATGCAGTTATCTTTAGGAAAAATAAATATGAACATATTGAAACATAGTGAAATATGGAGCTGAACATTTTAGGTTCTGGGCACTTTTTAAACCAAGCGTCGGTCTCTTCCTCACGTGAGGAAGCTGCAGACGCTCTGCGTGATTCCTGCAGACTTGAAGTTAAATTTGCCGTGTGACATCTGTTATCCCAATTATCTTCTAACCTTAAAGTTTGGTGTCTTTCTTAGTGCGTGTGTGTGTGTGTGTGGGGTGGGGGGGGCGTTTGGGCAGAAGGGAAGAAAGGAGGACAGGGAGGACTGTAGATCTACTGTCAGAGGTTATGCTGCTGCTTGTGTCGCCAGTGAAGGAAATGAAAGCAACAAAAGTCAGATCTCTCTGTTTTCCACTGGATGGCTGCTTCCATGTGTGACACACCGGAGCACCGGGTGTGAACTCCAGACTCCATCTTGCCTCCGTCCGAATATTTACTGCCGATCGAAAGCAACTGTTTGACTCTGAATCTGCAGCTGCGGTGCGAGGATTCATTAAGGCAGCAGACAAAAGAGGCCAAGCCGGGGCATAGTGAGGGTTAATCCAGCCGCAACTCTTCACGGCGCCCCGGCTTTCGCCCTCTGTCGGCCGAGGGGACAGGGGTCTTTACGCCCCCCCCCCCCCCGTGCTGTCTGTGCTCCGAGCCCTCGGCCTACCTTTCATCTAGTAATCCAGGCCTATGAGTTCTGAGCAGGCCTAGACATAATTACCCTCCACGCCCCAAGGGGCCCCGACGCTATCTTCCCTCACTCTCTATTTCTCTCCTTTCACTCCCTGTTCTTTTATTACAACATCTTAATCATCAACTTTTCTCTTGGCAGTAATCATTAAAAAGCTGCGTCAACCTCCATAACCCGGCAGTGTGAACTCTGTGTCGAACACGGCAGGACTTAACTTTCTCCTCTTCCTCTTCCTCTTCCTCCCCTCGCCATCCATGCCGATCGATGTAGCGAAATGAAAGCAACTGATCTTCCTCTCGCTCGGCTCCAGAGAGAAAGGACAAAATTAGAGGCACTGCGGGGGTTATGGAAGGAGGGCTAGTCGGAGGAAGAGGGAGGGTTTCGCCGCGACATTCAGCACAAGGCCTCGTCAGTCATTCATGATGGAACCCCCCCTACATTCACAAAAGAGGACCCACAGAGGTGCCCCCGTCACTGCCCGGTCACAAGGGGCCTTTGGGCTTCTATGTAATCTCTTAATGAACTGCAGTGGAGGAGAGGGAGCGCTCCTTTTACATAAACCATGTAAAGCAGGCCTCTCTTTTGTTTCCCTCTCCCAACTACAAAATGGATTACCACAAGAAGGAGGTGTGTGTGATGTGATGGGGAGATTGGGGGGCGGGAGGGGGGAGGAGGTGGTGGGCTCATTCTCTTGTTGTTGTTTTTCGTAGGTTCATGCATAAGGGCAGTAAAGTAGTAGAGCGCAAACAACAATGAAGTTTAATCGACACAACCGAGGGTCCTGTGAAAGGTTTTTAAAAAACAAATTTGATAGCTGAGGGAGAGACAGAGAGAGAGAGAGAGAGAGAGAGAGGAAGAGAGGGAGAGACAGAGAGACAGAGAGAGAGAGGGAGAGAGGGAGAGAGAGAGATAGAGAGGGAGAGACAGAGAGAGAGAGGGAGAGAGGGAGAGAGAGAGATAGAGAG